GTAGCTGGGACTTACAGAGTGCACCCACCATGCTCGCGGGCTAAGTTTTTGTATTTGTTAGTACAGAGCGGTTATTTCACGCATGGGTGTTGGCCGAGGCGTTAGGTGCGTGAAACTCCTGGACCTCAGGTGGATCTGCCTGCCATCACCCTCCAGAGTGGCTGGGATTCCACAGACCGTGACCACCATTGCCCTGGCGCTTACCAATTGCATATAAGGACTTGATACCACCGGGATTTGGTAATGGCAGTCACTAGAAGCAGTGCCTCCGTCAGATTACCTGAAAGGACTCGTAGTTGCCCATATTATCTTGTTTAGTGGCTATCTTAAATTCACTTTATGTTGACTTTAATTAAATAAAAAAAATAGAGACAGGGTCTTGCTATATTGCCCAGGTTGTTCTTGAACTCCTGGGCTCAAGCAATAATCCTGGACTTGGGCTCTCAAGTGCTTGGATCATAGGCGTGAGCCACCCATGCCTGGCCCCTAACCTTAAATTAAAAAATAAATAAATAAATAGAATTTTAGCCTATATTTTCTTTCCTTTTTTTTTTTTTTTTTCTTGAGATTAGGGTCTTGCTTCTGTTGCCCAGGCTGCAGTGTAGTGGCACAATCACAGCTCACTGCAGGCTTGATGCCGGGCAGCTTATTCTCCCACCTCAGCCTTCCTGAGTAGTTGGGACTACAGGCACATGGCAGTCGCCCAGGCTAATTTATTTATTTTTTATTTTTGAGACAGACGTCTGGCTTCTGTGGGTGGTTGCGATGTCGGCTCACTCGAGCCTCCCGCCTCCCAGGGGTTCAAGCAATTCTCCTGCCTGGCCTCCGTGCGAGAGCGGGTGATGTACAGTGCCCTCTACACGGACCCGCTCCATTTTGTTTTTCTGTGTGTGAGACGGGTCGCGCTCTGTCCGCCAGGCTGGAGTGCAGTGGCGCCGGTCTGGCGGGGCTCACTGCAGAACTGCTGCGGCTCCTGGGGTTCACGCCATTTTCCTATTTCAGCCTCCTGAGGTGCTGGGACTATAGCACCCCCCGCCGACACCGGCACGTTTTTTTATATTTTTATTAGAGACAGGGTTTTCACTGTATTAGCCAGGAATGGTCTCCATCTCCTGACCTCGTGATCGCCCGCCTTGGCTCCCAAGAGTGCTGGATTACAGGGTTGTGAGCCACCGCGCTGGTCTTTTTTTTTTTTTTTTTTTTTATTTGTATTGTTATATTTTTTCCTGAATATTTTTGATCTATGGTTGCTTGAATCCCATGGAAATGGAGGGCCAATTGTACTTGGGAAAAAGAGAAAAAAAATACTTGATCAGTATAGCAAAGAGAGGGAAAGAAAAACCAGAAAGCAGCCTGGCCCAGTGGCTCACGCCTGTAATCCCAGCACTTTGAGAGGCAGAAGCAGGCGGAAAATGAGGTCAGGAGTTCAAGACCAGCCTGGCCAATATGGTGAAACCCCATCTATACTAAAAAATACAAAAACTAGCTGGGTGTGGTGACCCACACCTGTGGTCCCAGCTACTCAGGAGGCTGAGGCAGGAGAATCACTTGAGCCCAGGAGGCGGAGGTGGCAGTGAGCCGAGATCATGCCACTGCACTCCAGCCTGGCAACAGAGCAAGACTCTCTCAAAAAATAAAATAAAATAAAATAAGAAAGCATTTTCAAACATATCACTATCACAATACATTTGAATGGATGAATCTCTTCTATTACAAGACCAAAAAAATGTTTAAATCATGAGACTCATAAGTTCTTTTTTTTTTTTTTTAGATGGATTATTGCTCTGTCACCCAGGCTGCAGTACAATGGTGTGATCTCGGTTCACTGCCACCTCTGCCTCCTGGGTTCGGTGATTCTTCTGTCTCAGCCCCCCGAGTTATTGGGATTATAGGTGCCCACCGCCATGCCCGGCTAATTTTTTTGTATTTTTAGTAGAGATGGGGTTTCACCATGTTGGCCAGGATGGTCTCGAACTCCTGATCGCAGGTGATCTGCCTGCCTCGGCCTCCCGGAGTGCTGGGATTACAGGCATGAGCCACTGCGCCTGGCCAAGATGCATGAGTTCTTAAAGTGAAAACGAAGCGTCCTTTTTTGCAAACAGTCTGATCAGGGAAGGCAAGGTTAAGTGAAATATAAATTTTCACTTCAATTTTTCATTAGTTCCTTCCTCCATCATTTTGTTACAGTGCCTAAGTGTGCCAGGCATAGTATTGGGTACCAGGGGTTCAGAGATGAATTGACTAAAGCTTCTCTAAGTGCCCCCCTCCCCAGTAGGAAGGATATCTGTCTTGACCAGAGTTAAACCCAGAGACAGCCAAGGAGGAAGTCTCGGCCTCCTCACCTGAGCCACGCTCAGCCTCTTCCTCTCCCAAAGGCCTCCTGCTCCTTCACCTTCAGCCCAGCCCATGCATCTCCCTTGATGCGAGACTCACCCAAGATGAGACGGAAACAGTCCCGACACACAATCAATCCTCACCTTTCCGACCTTTCCTTTTGGCACACAACACAAACACTCCGGGTTTGCCCTGAGGCATCTGCAGGGGCAGGGCCAGGGGAGCGGAGGCTGAGGCTCCTCCGGGTCTACTTTCTCTGAGGAGAGAGTAATGTGGGAGAAGCACCGTTTGCCTTTGATACTTACCAAGGTCACTGTGGTTGCTCCCTGTGGAATGACAGTGGCAGTGTGCCCGAAACACTGGCTCCTTCTCCAACCCTCACACATGCATTAAAAGGTGAAAGGAGAGAGCTCAGGGCACAGTGCTCATCCCACCACATGCCAAGAGGGGCTGGGTAATCCTTCTGGGTTTGTTCTCCAAAGCCCGAGTTAGGGAAATGGGGACTCTTCAGACAGGGTTACCTTTGTCTGTCCCTGTTCGTTTATGTGAGAGCAGGTTTGTTCTGCCAGGCTGAGGCCCCAGGCCCACCAGCCATCAGCTCCTTGTGGAGGTTGGGTGTGGGAGTGCCCCTCTGGGGACAGAAAGCCCTCCTCCCATCCCTGAAGCTGGGCCTATCTGGGGAGTGGGGGCAGGCGAGCTCCGTCAGCCACTGAGGAGAGAGGGCCTGGTCAGGACCCTGCCCCTGTCATTCCGTAGGGAGTAACACACAGTTCTCTACTAAAAACACAAAATTCACCAGGTGTGATGGCACATGCCTGTAATCCCAGCTACTCAGGAGGCTGAGGCAGGAGAATTGCTTGAACCCGGGAGGTGGAGGTTACGGTGAGATGGCACCATTGCACTCCAGCCTGGGCAACAGAGTGAGACTCCGTCCCCTGGCCCCAAAAAAATATACTGGGCCGGCAGGGCGTGGGGGTTCACGCCTGTAATCCCAGCACTTTGGGAACCTGAGGCAGGTGGATTGCTTGTGCTCAGGAGTGTGAGACCACCCTGGGCAACATGGCAAAACTCCATCTCTGTAAAAATTTAAAAATTATCTGGGTGTGGTGGCATGCACCTGTAGTCGCAGCTACTCAGGAGTCTGAGGTGGGAGGATCATCTGAGCCTGGGGATGTCGAGGCTGCTGTGAGGCATGATTGCATCACTGTACTCCAGCCTGGGTGACAGAACAAGACCTGTCTAAAAGAAAATACTGACATTAACCTGGGCATAGTGGCTCACGCCTGTAATCTCAGCACTTTGGGAGGCAGAGGTGGAAAGATCACTTGAGGCCATGAGTTCAAGATCAGCCTGGGAAACATAATGAGACCTCATCTCTACAAATGTTATTTTTACTTAGCCAGGCGTGGTGGTGTGCACCCATAGTCCTAGATACTCAGGAGGCTGAGATGAGAGGGTCCCTTGAGCCCAGAAGGTTGAGGCTGCAGTGAGCTATGATTGTATTATTGCACTCCAGCCTGGGCAACAATGTGAGACCATGTTGCCCAGGCTGGTCTTGAACTCCTGGCCTTGAAAGATCCTCCCACCTAGGCCTCCCAAAGTGTGGGATTACAAGCGTGAGTCCCTGTGCCCGGCCTCCAGGGGCTTCTTGACAGAACAAGCATCCTGGAGTAGGGGTGGGGGTGGCCATGCTAATTAGAAAGCATCCCTCCTGGGTCTCTCTGAAGCGCTAAAGCCAGGTGAAGACCCCAGCTCTGCATCTTGGCCCACAGTGGATCTTGAGAGGGGTCCATGGGAGTTCTTATCATCAATAAGACGTTCTATAACTGGAGGACTCCAGTCACCTGAGAAATGAAGAAATGGGTCAGAGGACTCGACAGGGATGGGTGGGCCAGCGGTGCCCCCAGCTCTGCACCACGTGATGGAGCCTCTTTTGCATTTGCAGCTCCCTCCCCGGGGCAGAACAGGTCTGTTTGTCTTCCCAAACCTCAGAGATGCCAAGAACGAAGGAAATCTGATACCCCTAAGGCAAGAACTGTTCCAGCCCTGTGCTGCCAACAGGAAGCCTTTGCCCATGCCCAAGAGAGAGGGCAGGTGAGAGGCCCCCGCCTCAGGGTTCCCACCAACCAGCCAGGGACACCAGGAGCCATCTGCCATGTGGTTCCCACAGCAGCCAGCAGGGGGCAGCCTGTCGAAGACTTCCTGGGGCCATGTCGCCCTGAGTTGTGCAGGTTCCCACAGGCCAGCACCCAGTGTGGAAAACAGCATGTGGTAGCAGGGGGTTAGGTGTCCGGCATGAGCCAGCCTGGCCTTTACCTTTTGGGCTCTTTTCCTGTCTAGCCCGCCCAAAATGTGGAAACCTTAACAGCAGACATGGGTTATGATGTCAGAGTTTGGGATATTTTAGAAGGGGTCTTGTTATGTTGCCCAGGCTGATCTTCAACTCCTGAGCCCAAGCGATCCTTCCACCTCAGCCGCCTAAGTAGCTGGGACTACAGGCGCCTGCCACTGTGCCCAGCTTAATGTCAGTTTGTAGCTTCACAACTTTGCTTTATCCTAATTTCTGAGCAATACCCAATCAGCTAGGCCTGGAGCACCATCCCCACACTGAATTTCTCCCTCTTTTGGATATTTTATGGACATTAAAAACAAGCATGGGCTTCAAAAGACACCCACAAGCTGGGAGAAAACATTTTAAAAAACAAACCACAGACTGGGAGAAAAGGTTCACAATCTACGTATCTGGTAAAAGACTTGTATTCAGAATATATAAAGTACTTTTACAACTCACTCATTAATAAGACAAACATCTCAACAGAAATGGGCAAAAGATTTGAATCAACATTTCATCAAAGAAGATATGTGGAAAGTCACTAGAGACATGAAAAACGGACCCCATCAGCAGCCATAAGGGAAACGGCCCTTGAAACCACAGCGAGATGATACCATTTCCACCCCATTGGAGTGGCTGCAGTCCGAAAGGCTGACCATACCAAGACTTGTGAGCATAGGGAGCAAGGCAGGCTCTCATGCGCTGCTGCTGGAAATAGAAAAGAGCGCAACCACTTTGGAAAACAGTTTGGTAGTTTCTTTTTTTTTTTAGATGGAGTCACGCTCTATTGCCCAGGCTGGAGTGCAGTGGCATGATCTAGGCTCACTGCAACCTCCACCTTCCGGGTTCAGGCAATTCTCCTGCCTCAGCCTCCCGAGGAGGTGGGACTATTGGGATACACCACCACGTTCAGCTAATTTTTATATTTTTAGTAGAGACGGGGTTTCGCTGTTAGCCAGGCTGGTCTCGAACTCCTGACCTCAGGTGATCCACCCACCTTGGCCTCCCAAAGTGCTGGGATTACAAGTGTGAGCCACTGCACCCAGCCAGTTTCTTAAAAAAATTGAAATGTAACATTTAGAGCATACACTATCCCATTCTAAGGTAATTAATCACCCCCTTTCCCCCACACAAAAAAATGTATGAAAGCATATGTCCAGGCCAGGTGTGGTGGCTCACGTCTGTAAGCCCAGCACTTTGGGAGGCCGAGGTGGGTGGATCACTTGAGCCTGGGATTTTGAGACCAGCCTAATATGGTGAAACCCCATATCTACTAAAAATACAAAAATTAGCTGGGCATGGTGGCGTGCACCTGAAATTCCAGCTACCCAGGAGGCTGAGGCAGGAGAATCGCTTGAACCCGGGAGGCAAATGTTGCAGTGAGCCGAGATCATGCCACTGCACTCCAGCCTGGGCAACAGAGCAAGACTCTGTCTCGAGAAAAAAGCATATGTCCACACAAAGACTCAAACACAGAGACGAAAATTTCCACAGCAGCTTTACAAGTAATAGCCCCAAAATAGAAAACAACCGCAATGCTCACCATGAATAATGAGTAGATAAGCAAATTGTGGACTATCCATCCAATGGACTACTGCACAGGGACAAAGAGGAACCACACACACACATATACAGACACACAAATATACACACACACATACACACACACACAAATATACACACACACATATACACACACACACAAATATACACGCACACACACAAACATATACACACATATACATACACATATACACACACACAAATATATACACACATACACACACAAATATACACACATACATACACATATGCACACACACACACAAATATACACACATATATACACACACAGAGATATATACACACACAGAGGTATATACACAAATATACACATACATACACATATGCACACACAAATATACACACACATACATATATGCACATATATACATACATACACACATACATATATACACACATACATATACACACATATATACAAACACACACCTATACACACACACATATATATTTCTAAATACAGTTGGCCCTTGAACAACATGGGTTTGAACTGCATGCCTCAGCTTATACACAGATTTTTTTTCAATAAAAGAGACCCTGAGTGTGCCTGCCTCTCCTCCCGCCTCCTCCACCTCTTAACCCTCTGCCTTCTCTGAGACAGTGAGACCAACCTCTCCCCTTCCTCCTCAGCCTACTCAGTGTGGGAGACAACCAGGGTGACGACTTTTGCCATGATCCACTTCCACATAACGAATGGTAAGTAGAGCTTCTCTTCCTCACAATTTCCTTGATAACGTTTTGTCTTCTGTAGCTGACTTTAGTGTAGGAAAGCAGTTGTAATACACAGAACCCACCAAATATGTCTGCTGTCTAATCCCCTCCAGAATTAGAATGAGTGGATTGTGTGGCAATTGTGGAGTCCCTAAAATGTTTTTATTTTTAGTTTTAAAAATCATCTGGCCAGGCGCAGTGGCTAATGCCTGTAATCCCAGCAATTTGGGTGGCTGAGCCAGGTGGATTGTTTGAGCCCTGGAGTTCGAGACCAGCCTGGGAAACATGGTGAAACCCTGTCTCTACAAAAAATACAAAAGTTAGCCAGGTATGGTGGTGCACACCTGTAGTCCCAGCTACTTGAGAGGCTGAGGCAGGAGGATCACTTGAGCCCAGGAGACGAAGGCTGCAGTGAGCCGGGATTGTGCCACTGCACTCCAGTCTGAGTGACAGAGTGAGACCCTGTCTCAAAAAAAAAATGATTTGTATTTATTTCACTGAGCATGTCTCATGGTTCATCCACGTTGTCTCAGGTGTCAGAATTTCCTCCTGTCGAAGGCTGAATAACACTGCGTTTTCTCTATACCCCGTGTTTGATTTCTCCATTCATCTGTCGACAGACACTTGGATGGTTTCCACCTTTTGGCTGTGTGAGTGATTCGTCTATGAACACGGCACGCCACTAAAATTTTGATTCTAGGTGTTGTTATACCACAACAAATGGCTGGAACAATGTTGCGCCTCAATTAAAATGTATTTTAGGGGCCGGGCGCAGTGGTTCACACCTGTAATCCCAGCACTTTGGGAGGCCGAGGTGGGCGGATCACCTGAGGTCGGGAGTTCAAGACCAGCCTGACCAACATGGAGAAACCCCATCTCTACTAAAAATACAAAATTAGCCGGGCGTGGTGGTGCCTGCCTGTAATCCCAGCTACTCTTTGACAGCCAGGCTGGAGTTGCTGTGGCAGGACTATGGCTCACTGCAGTCTCCACCTCCTGGGCTCAAGCAATCCTCCCACCTTAGTCTCCCAGGTGGAGGGGACTACATGCACCCACCACCACTCACAGCTCAAAATATGTGTTAACTACTGTTTATACTAAAGGCAAGACTTCTGTCAATAGCAGGCTGTTAGTAGTTAACTGCTAGGGAATGAAAAGTTATATTTGGATTTTTTACTGTTGGGGGGCACCCCTAAACCCCTGCATTGTTCAAGGGTCAACTATAGTATGTATATATATTTACATATTTTTTCTTAGAAGGTCAAGGTTGATACTGTATATATGCACCAGAGTAACCATAATTCTCCCTCCTCTTTTGCCTTTACTTTTAAATAGATTTGGTGCTCACCTCGACCTTCTGCACTTTTCCCTGCCTGCTCTTATTTATGTGGACTGACCTCTGGATGGTACTGTCAGGCACAGAGGGGCTTTGTTTCTTCAAGAGATCATGAGGCTGCATTCCCTGAGAGTCTGCAGGTCGCCTGACCTTTGAAGGAAGGCTCTGCTGAGGAACACTTTTTAAAACATAGTGTAGTCATTTTAAAAATACATTTTCTTTTCCTTTTTTTTTTTTTTTTGAGATGGGGTTTCACTCTTGTTGCCCAGGCTGGAGTATAATGGTGCAATCTCAGCTCACCACAACCTCCACCTCCCGGGTTCAAGTGATTCTCCTGCCTCAGTCTCCTGAGTAGCTGGGATTACAGGCAGGCACCACCACGCCCGGCTAATTTTGTATTTTTAGTAGAGATGGGGTTTCTCCATGTTGGTCAGGCTGGTCTTGAACTCCTGACCTCAGGTGACCCGCCCACCTCGGCCTCCCAAAGTGCTGGGATTATAGGTGTGAGCCACTGCGCCCGGCCCCTAAAATACATTTTTATTGAGGCGCAACATTGTTCCAGTCATTTGTTGTGGTATAACAACACCTAGAATCAAAATTTTAGTGGCGTGCCATGTTTATAGCCGAATCACTCACACAGCCAAAAGGTGGAAACCATCCAAGTGTCTGTCGACAGATGAATGGAGAAATCAAACATGGGGTATAGAGAAAACGCAGTGTTATTCAGCCTTCGACAGGAGGAAATTCTGACACCTGAGACAACGTGGATGAACCTTGAGACATGCTCAGTGAAGTAAGCCCGTCACAAAAGGACAAACACTGCACGATATCACCTTTTTTTCTTTTGAGACAGAGTCTTGCTCTGTTGCCCAGGCTGGATTGCAATGGTGCAATCTCGGCTCACAGCCACCTCTGCCTCCCAGGTTCAAGCAATTCTCCTGTCTCAGCCTCCCGAGTATCTGGGATTACAGGCACACGCCACCACGCCTAGCTAATTTTTGTATTTTTAGTAGAGATGGGGTTTCACCATATTGGTCAAGCTGGTCTTGAACTCCTGACCTCAGGTGATCCACCCACCTTGGCCTCCCAAAGTGCTGGGATTACAGGCATGAGCCACCATGCCTGGCCGCATGATGCCACTTATACGAGGTCCCTAAAGTAGTCAAATTCAGAGAGACAGAAGTAGAACGGTGGTTGCCTAGGGCTGGGAAGAGGGGATGGAGAGTGGGTGTTTAATGGGTAAGAATTTCAATTTTACAAGATAAAAAAGCTCTGGAGATCTGTTGCACAGTCATGTGGATGTACTTATCACTGCTGAAATGTACACCTAAAAATGGTTAAGATGGTAAATTTTACCTGTAATTTACCATAAATTAAAAACAAAAACAAAAACAAAAAACTTAGTGGCATAAAGCAGCCACCACCATTGTGTGATGTTCCTGTGTTCCCTGGTCAGAAGTTTGGGCACAGGCAAGGTTGCTCCTCTCTGCACTAGGATGTCTGAGGCCTCATCTGGAGGTGACCCTAGTGACTAGGGCTGGAAGGACTGGAGACAGATAATCTACTTCCAAGACCACGCTTTTACTCACGCGTGTGGCACCTGGGCTGGGATGGCCCAAGGACGGGCTCTTCTGGGCCTGTTGACTGGAGCCCTCCATGTGGCACTTTCAGCATGGCAGCCTCCAAGCAATCAGATTCCGTTCGAGGTGGTTCAGAGTTCCAAAACAAGTGTCCCCATCAGGCAAGGCCATGTGGCCTTTTATCACCTAGTCTCAGAAGTGACAAAGTCACCACTTTTATGAATTGCTTCTTTACTGCAATGTAGGTACTTTAACAAACTTCAGCATCAACAGTGAAATGTTATGTGTATGCCGGTTACTTACCCCTTAACTCAGTATATATCAAGAATGCTGCTGGGGTTGGGCATAGTGACTCATGCCTGTAATCCCAGCACTTTGGGAGGCCAAGGCAGGTGGATCACCTAAGGTCAGGAGTTCAAGACCAGGCATGACCATCTCTATAAAAAATCAAAAATTTAGCCAGATGTAGTGGTAGGCACCTGTAATCCCAGCTACTCTGGAGGCTGAGGCAGGAGAATTGCTTGAACCTGGGAGGCAGAGGTTACAGTGAGCCGAGATTGCACCACTGCACTCCAGCCTGGATAGCAGAACAAGACTTGGTCTAAAAAAAAATATATATATATATATATATTCTAAAAACCCTTATAACTCAACAGTAGAAAGATAAATAAACCAATTTTATTTTATTTATTTATTTATTTGAGATGGAGTCTCTCTCTGTCACCCAGGCTGGAGTGCAGTGGCGTGATCTCGGCTCACTGCAACCTCTGCCTCCCGGGTTCAAGGGATTCTCCTGCCTCAGCCTCAAGAGTAGCTGGGACTACATGCCCACCACCATGCCCGTATAATTTTTGTACTTTTATTAGAGACGGGGTTTCACCATGTTGGCCAGGCTGGTCTGGAACTCCTGACCTCAGGTGATCCACCTGGCTCAGCCTCCCAAAGTGCTGGGATTACAGGCGTGAGCCACCGTGCCCGGTCAAGAGTGATTTCTTAAGGAAGTACTTGGTATTTTTCTGGAATGATGAAAAAGTTTTGAAACTAGAAAGAGGTGGTGGTTGCGCAACACTAGGAAAACTCTGGATGCCACTGAATTGTACACATCAAAATGGTGAATTGGAGCCTGGTGCGGTGGTCTGGAACTGTAATGCCAGAGACTCAGGAGGCTGAGGTGGGAGGATCACTTGAGCCCAGGAGTTCAAGGCTGCATTGAGCTATGATCCTATGATCAGGCCACTGCACTCCAGCCTGGGCAACAGAGCAAGATCCCTGACTCAATTAAAATAAAAAATATATATTAAAAAACAAGAGAATGCATAGGCTCCAGGGGTATCAGCCACTATCATATCAGCAGGGTCTCACTCCAGATATGGCTAATACAAGTCTTTCTGTGATCCATAGCTTTATCAATAACCTAAACTTGATTTGCTAATTAGCATAATGATATCTTTTTTTTTTTTTTTTAAAGAGACAGGGTCTCTCTCTGTCTCCCAGGCTGGAGCATAGTGGTGCAATCATAGCTCATCACAGTCTTGGACTCCTGGGCTTAAGCGATCCTCCTGCCTCAGCCTCCTGACTAGCTGGGACTACACATGTGTGCCATCACTCCTGGCTGATTTTTTTGGTAGAGACAGGGTCTCGCTATGTTGCCCAGGCCTTATTATTGTTTTGTAAGAGTTTCCCTTTCCTTTAAGATTCTGGATACTTTGATACGTTTATTGAAGATACCTTCTCTAAGTGTACATAATTAAATTAAATCTTGAAATACACTTTCTTGGAACAGACTGCTCTTAACTGAAACTGTAAGTAGGTGAATGTTTTGCTGGAGATTCTGAAAAAGTCAAACCATCCCTGCTCATCTCCAGACCCACTGGGCCTTTGTCTAAGGATGTCACAGGCCATAATTCCCAAGCAGCAGCCAAATTTTTACAAAGGCTGAGGACCTGGGTTCCGCGTTCTGGGGGGGAATCTGCTTAGGAATATAGGAGGAATTTGGGACTGGGTGAGGGAGTGTCGGAGTTCTCTAAGAGGGAGGGGCAAGGATGGCAAGGAATGAAGGGGAGGAAGAG